TATTTATTTATTTTATTTTATTATTATTATTTTTTTTGAGACAGAGTTTCGCTCTTGTTACCCAGGCTGGAGTGCAATGGTGCGATCTCGGCTCACCGCAACCTCCGCCTCCTGGGTTCAGGCAATTCTCCTGCCTCAGCCTCCTGAGTAGCTGGGATTACAGGCACACGCCACCGTGCCCAGCTAATGTTTTGTATTTTTAGTAGAGACGGGGTTTCACCATGTTGACCAGGATGGTCTCGATCTCTTGACCTCGTGATCCACCCGCCTCGGCCTCCCAAAGTGCTGGGATTACAGGCTTGAGCCACCGCGCCCGGCCCATTAATATACTTATTTATAAAATTTGAGAGACAGATTTAATTGGCCTGATACTCTCGTTATCAGGACTTATTGTTTAGAAAAGTAAGTCTCTTCTCTCAAAGAATAAAGGGGTTTCCCTTTCTTGTGAAATCTTCGAGTTATCACTTTGGCTAAATGAGTGACTTATTTTTCAGTGACCTGTGTTTGAGCCTGCTCTGTCATGGGTTATTTTACCAAGGCTTTGACTGGAATGACATTTTCAGATTGCCTTGAGAAAATAAGGGTGACCTACAGAGATAACAAGAGCCTCTTGGACAAACTGGCCCCATACCTCGTCCTTCACAGGGTCCTGGACTGTGCTAAGCAAAAAATGTCAGTTTCTAACAGGGCGAGGAAACTCAAGTTTTGTGGGACCTTGAAAAGAGAATAATTCAACCAGTTCACACAGGTATCTACAGGCACAGATAAATCCTTGGCTGGGATTGAGGCTTTTAAAAAGCTCTAAATCTTAGATTCTTTATGAAAGGGTTCCAACAAAACCAATTTAAAAAAAGAGAGAGAGAGAGAAAGAGCACTGGCAAACCTATATGGCAAATGATTACTCCTGCTGCACTTTATCCAAGTAATCAAGCCAATCATAATAGGACTAAAATTTATTTTACAAATACATTGGCCCGATTATAATTTTCTATTTAATAGAATTGGGGAGAGAGAAATATTATGTTTCAAAATAAACTGTAGTACACCTGTAATTAGATTTTAGCTTTGTGTAATGGTTGTCCATTTTTATTGTTTTCTACAATTTGGACTGAATTCTAAAATTTTTCCTGGCTACAATTCTCCAAAATAATGTTCTCAGTTTTTTTTCTTCTTTCTTTTCTTTTTTAATCATGATTTGAAACCACTAAAAATTAAGCTATACTTTTCTTAAAGCCCCGTAAACTGAAGCTAGACAAAATCCATTTTGGAAGAAAACAACAGGAATCTCTTTACATAAGTAAACCACTTCCATACCTGCCTACTGATGTACAGACTTCAGAGTAACCTGGCCTGTATCAGTTTTTCAGGATTGTTCTTTCTTGATGTTTATTTGTTTTTTCTCTCTCTCTGTTCCTCCACTTATTTTTTTTTCTTCATGGGTCATGAGACTTTACAACCTGCTAAAAATGAGCTTTCCTAACAAGTTGAGACCCATCTGTCTAGAAATAAACTGTATTAGCCGCAAAAGACCAGATGATACCCAAGATCAGGGACTCATTTCCTTCTAAAATGCATTCTCTGAAAGATTTTTTAAAAAAGAAGACAGGGAGAAATGTGAAAGGAAAATAAAAACTTGGTTCTTCAATTTACTATGCAAAGGAAAAAAAAAATAAGCTGAACGCTTTCATGTAAGAAGACGCCTTTCCTTTTTTGCTAAGCAGAAAGCTACAGATAAAAGGTTAAATATCTCTGTAGGTAGCTACTCCATGTTCACCTTATATTATATAAAGAGCTATTTTACTGAGCGTGAAGACAAATACATCATTCACTATTTCCCTTCCTGCTCCTTTTCTCTCACGTGACTTGGTTTCAGTAATGTGACCATCCCTTCCCTTTTTCCCCACCACCCTTCCTTTCCCTTTATGTACTGATGGCCTCAAAATCATCTTTGGAGAAAGGCACAGACCACACCCTGTTTCTGTGATTCCTTGTTTATTCTTCCAGGAATGTCCTTAAGCTTAGCAAAATAAACATCTGAATTGATGGAGACCTGTCTCAGATACTTTTTGGTTAACAGGCCTAGCGTCCTTATAAGAGGAGAAGATGACCACCTGCAAGCCCGGGAGAGGCCTCAGAAGAAACCAGCCTGCTGATGGCTTTGTCTCGGACCTCTGGCCTCTAGGACTGAGAGAGAAACACCATCTCCTGTTTAAGCTGCCCATCGAGGTACTTGGTTAAGCCAGCCCTAGCCAACTAATTAACGCAAGCGCAGGGCCCCCAAACAGTAAAGATCAGCAGTTTCTGGGTGAAAACACAAATCCTTCAAAATCAGATTTCACCCCTCAAATTCGTGCCATTTGTATGGTGTCATGGAACGGAACCTTGGGTTTGGGAGAGATCTGATTTTCCCAGGTACACGAAATCTCACCAAATTCTTTGACCCTTGTTCTGTCGAGAACGCACCGGTTCAGGAGAGAAAGAGCGTATTCTTTATTATAATTTAATATGTATTTTGTAGCCTGTCAAGCCCGTAGGAGGATAAGAGGCTCCACAAGTATTGCAACCACCCGGCCCACCCCTGCCACCCACCCCAGAGGCTGGGAACTAACCCCACCGCCCTTCTCTTGTGGCAGACTTCCGGGCACCGCAGCCCTCTCTTGTGTCTTAGGGCTTACATTTAATTCCTTCTACAGGCGAATCACCCTCTGTCCTCTCTCCCTTCACCAAATGGCTTCCCTGTGTGTCCTGTGTCTTCCCTACGTCACCTCCACTTTGTCAAATTTCCCCTCACAGGCTGGTGGCTGAACTGAATCCCGAGGGCCAGGGAGGAGCTGTCCAAAACAGATGAGCCCACAGCCACCAGCTGGCCAGCATCCTCTCTGCAGCGCCTGCGGCAGCCTTGGGACATCAGCTCAGCCGCAGGCACCCCATGGCTGGAAAGGCTTGACTCCTTCTCACCAGGACACTGACTTAGCAAGTTTTCTCTCAGCCTTAACATAGGCACTGGTTGTCTGGACCCGAGAGCAGGATGCCCCATTCATTACACTTCTTCTTATCATGTGTCAATACTTGCCTTCACAATCAAGGACCCAAAATGTTTCTGATCTGACTGCTTCAGTTTCCTCATCTGTAAAAAGAGCGTGGCAATGTCTGTGTCCCCCATCACCGGGCTGTCGTGGGGGTCCGGAGAGCTACGAGAGGTTAGGGACTTAGAAGGCAGGCTGGACCTATTCGCAGTCACTAACAGTCTTGCTGGTATCACTGTTTTATCCAAGCACTGGCGACGGCCTCGGAGGGCACCAGAACCCCTCTTCCGGACAGCCCCATCAGCCCTTGCCCTGCTCCAGGGTGGTTCTAGGACTGCCTTTGTGGAAGGAATATGAGGACACTGGTCCCTTGCAAAATAAAAGCATCCAGGGAGAGCCACTTGTTCCTGCCAGAGCTGGTGGGCGCTCTGCCTGGTCCCTCTGAACTCCAGCTCCCTTAGAGAATTTTCCCCACTGACCAAAAAACCTCAACCGAGCGGATTTGCATTTCAATCAAAATTACACCTCGAATAAAGGGACTTCTGGCACACTGTGCAAACTGTCCTCACCATGCTCCACCTTGGGTAAAACAGAAAAACACAAGCACAGGAAAACAAAAGAATACTCACATTCATAACAGCCATGGCTTCCATCAGTACTTATTAGTATTTCAGACAAAATTAAGTCTGAAATACCCACATACCAACTGTTTTAAAATTATATAGCAGAAGTTTGGGTAAAAAGACTGACAAAAAATTCATTTGAATACAAGTAAAGAACTAGAAATATGGTTTGCCTCTAAAAAAAAAAAAATAACAGTGGACGGATATTTTGGTAAACTGGGAGAGCTGAGACTGGTTGTTGTTTTGTATAAAAGCTGCTTTCCTCATGCTTAGGAAGAAGGAGAAAAATCATTCATTCACTTAATTAAATACTGAACAATTTTGCAAAGCCTTCTGAACATTTGAAAAATTTTTCAATTTTGCATACTGTACAAAATTCATGCAAATCCTCCTGGCCCTATGATCAGTCAATCAACTTCTCACTTTAAAAATTAGAGAAATTAGTTTCTAGTGCCCCCGTACCACTGCCTATTATCATTATTTCTTTAAATATTACGTAGGTGGTGTAATATTACCCACTTTAATGCTTCAGTTCTTTTTCTTATTCTAAATATCACCAAGGTATTATTGTATTGTTATTACGAATTTCCAGGGAAATTCTTAGGAAACATGGTTTTTATTTTTCCTTAGCAAATACTTTTTTTTTTTGAGACAGAGTCTTGCTTTGTCACCCAGGCTGGAGTGCGGTCGCACGATCTCAGTTCACTGCAACCTCTGCCTCCCAGGTTCAAGCGGTTCTCTTGCCTCAACCTCCTGAGTGGCTGGGATTGCAGGCATGCACCACCATGCTGTGCTAATTCTTTGTATTTTTAGTAGACACAGGGTTTCACCATGTTGGCCAGACTGGTCTCAAACTCCTGACCTCAGGTTATCCACCCGTCTCGGCCTCCCAAAGTGCTGGGATTACAGGCGTGAGCCACCAACCGTGTCTGGCCTTAGAAAATACTTTTAAGCATTTGGACTCAGATTGCTTAAACTTAGTATTCAACTGAGACTAGTTATGAATCTAAGAATGAAAACAGAAGCCACTGAATTAGAAGTGTGTACTGAAACTGCATTGCATTTGTTTTCTGTTAATGCTGGAGAAATCAAATCACCGATTGTCTTTTTTAGCCTTCTCATTTCTTATGCCAGCATGTTGCAATGATATTTCCTAGATAAAAGTTTCCAGCAAGGCGAAGACTTAGCAAGAATTCCATCGAGGGTTCAGAAATGGCAGCAAGCAGTGAGCTAAGTGACTACTGCCCCCCTTTGGCTCTGGCATCCTCCCTGCCAGCTTCTTTCAAATGCACCGTCACCTCGGAAGAGCACAGGGGACAGGCAACTGACGTCCATGAGAAGGGAAACTTACCACATGGCAGAGCAGTCAAAATTCACCAACAGCCATTTGTGAGGATTAAAGTTGAATGAATCTGCAAACTGCCAAAGAACACGAATAAGAAAAAGAAAACGTTTTCCTCATAAATGTTTCATTATAGAGAAGACCCCATACATGATGATAAAAGTTTATGGCACAACTAACCCACAGTGGTAGAGGCCAGGTAGGGTTGCCCAGGGGAATGGCACTAACTTGCAGTGGGCAGGAGAGTCTTCAGGAGCGCTGGAATTGTCCTCTTGATCTGGGTGATGAGTATAGGGGAGTATATGTACTGAGAGCTGATTTGTATGTTTTCTAAATCTAGATTATAACCCAATAAAATGGAACAAAAATTTTAAAGTTTATATTTCCAGAAGAAAAGCACTTTCAAATTTACATAGTCTAATGTGACACAATATATATCCTTATTATATATTAAACTACTGGAATACTTGGAAGAACCGGAATTTTCCTTCACAAATACAATGTACAGGAATTGTGTTGATTCGGCCTGTGAAATACTTTATGCTTGACGTTCCTTCCACTTGCTGAGCTAGCAAAGGTCTCAGACTACAGGTGTCATGATCAACAGTGGGAAAGTGAAAATTTCTTAGCTAACCTACAATAGGTAGGGATAAACCCAGTTTTCATTTCATTGATGGGTTCTTTTGGCAGCATTGCCATAACGTATCAACAGTTCTCCCCATTTACCTACATGATGTTTCTACCTCTCTCTCTTTTCTTTCTTTCTTTTTTTTTTTTTTTAATTATTAAGAGACAGGGTCTCACTTTGTTACCCAGGCAGGAGTGCAGTGGCACAAACACGGCTCACTGTAGCCTCAACCTCCCAAGCTCAAGCGATCCTTCTGCCTCAGCTTTCTAAGTAGCTGGGACTGCAGGCATGTGTCCCCACACACAGCTAATTATTTAAATTTTGTTTGTAGAGACAGGTGTCTCATTACATTACCCAAGCTGATCTCCAATTCCTGGGCTTAAGCCATCCTCTTGCCTCGGCCTCCCAAAGTGCTGGGATTACAGGTGTGAGCCACTGCACCCAACCAGCTCCTTCCTTTTTAAAGACAATGTTCAAGTTCATTGTATTCCGAACAGCTACAGACTCCCTAGCTGAAAGATCCTGGGCAACAACTGCGAACACCTGGCTCTGGCTGCGTGCATCAGTGTTGGGGCCACCCTATTTTCAAGGAGAAAATGAGATTTCAACCACCAAGAGTGACAGAGGAGGACACTGTGTTTTCGCTGGGTTGTCGTAAATGGTGCTTTCTTACATTTTTCAGATGCATGTCCTGGTTGATCACTTGACTGGTGAACAGGGACAGGATCCACCTTAATGGCCATGGGGCTAGATTGATACCGAAATAAAGGCGGCTGCCACAGTGAGGCCTCAGTCTGGCTGACTCTCCTACTGGAAAACTTCTCAGTCTTCCCAAGGCCCTAGGGCACCTCCTGTCTACTTGGCTCCAGGGGTGTGTGCCGAGGAGGCAGCAGAGGCTTGAGGGGCCTGTGGGGGCATCCTGGGAGACATTTGGTCGGTGGATGGCAACCGTCCACATCAACCAGCTCCGGAGACCCAGGTTCATTTCCTTCCAGGTTTCAATAAAAGTAATTTTGAGAAAGGGACAGGAAATTACAGCAAGTTTCATTTGTTGATAAAGAGAGACAAAAGGTGAAAGAGGAGCTCTGTTTGCTAGGAGTTTTACGAGTTCCCTCCTATGGGGCTGATCTGTTTAAACTTCTCTCATTACCCAACAGTGATATTATCCTCCTGCGGACGACGGACCGACCGAGAGAAAGGTTCTTATCTCCAAGGGCAGGGCCACCACAGGATATTGCAGCCTCCTTATCTGCCCCGCTGAGACACACAGTCCTCAGCTGGGCACGGAAACAGAGTCGGGAGCAATAATTCAGGAAAAATGGCAATGACTCATGGTACCACATGAAATCCTGTCTGCTGCTGATAGGATCTGGCTGGAATGCCCAGTGCTGTGGTGGTCGGACAATTAGGCACCCTTCTATGAAAGATGAAACCTCAAGTTGTCAGTTCATAGGGAAAAGAACAGTAGTGCTAGGAAAAGATCACGAACCCTAAACCTGATACCCAGAGTTAGAAAAGAGAATCAAGCTCAGGCCAGCCTTGGGGAGGGCACATACATCCCAGAGGATTGCTTAGCCCTTCCTCCCTTGAAACTGCCCCAGGACAGATATTCCAAATGATGGAGATTATCTCCATAATACTATGTATTTATACAATACAGAGATTTATTCTTCATTTCCAGCACCAAACACCCACCTTTTTTTTTTCTTTTTTTTTTTCTAGCCAATATTTAATAATCCCATAGCAATTGATGTGTAAAAAAATGTCTTTACACATTTAGCTAGTTAGCTACCGGCAATGAACTGTATTAGCTGGGTACTGGCATTGTATTATGAGAACTTCTCTTATACTATGAGAATTTCAGAATGACAGGCTGTATGACTTGGGAAGGCTCTCGCCCCTGTTCTAAGGAAGTGGGATTTCCATTAATCGCTAGAACCGGTTCAAACATAATGGCTAAAACAAACCGCAATAGTGAGAAAACAGATGTCAGCTCCTCGTGAAAGGAGAGGTCAGTACCGAATATTTTATAGGCCTTCGTAAGCTCCCTTTTACTTTTTTCTCCCCAGTACTTTTATAGGCCTTTGGAAGCTGCCTTTACCCCCAAGGATCCGTCCTCTAAGTCCTAGGTCATATTAGGCACTCAACAAGTAATTATTGAATGAAGAGGTGAATAAATGTGATGGAGACATAAACCAGAATATGACTTCATTCATTAGCAGTAAGAGGATTATTCTTTCCAAAGATGGGGCCATTTGTATTCTGTACCTCTGATGCCCACTTTTGTGAAATTACAGCACTGTGAGAATTCCAAGTCGTAATTAGAATACTGAATAGCAAGCCTGACAGTCAAGCAAAGGAAGATGTCAAGGGAAAGTTTTTCTAAGATACGGTGGAAAATAACAAAAGCACCTAATGCATGTTCAGTACTTACTGCGTGCCAGGCATTGCATTTAATTCCTTAAAACATGATTAACTCACCTACTCCTTACAGCGATCCCACACAGGATGCATTATTATGAAATCTATTTTATGGGGCATAGGAAGGATATCTAAGTCGCCCAAGGGTACACAGCTAGTCCTAAGGATAAATCTGGCATTCAAACCAAGGAGTCTAATGCCAAAGACTGTGCCCTTCATTCTGCATCACACATAGGTGGGGTCTCACGACACCTCCTGCCTCTTGGCGGAAAGCATTTCTCTTTTGGCCAGTGCCACAGCTCCCCTGCTTTGCTACCTCCTTCTCTTGGACATGCTGCCAAAGACTGCCTCTTGGGACCCCCCATGGCATTCAAAGCTGAGTCCTCCAGGAGGAGAGACTTCCTACCCTATGAGACACCACCAGCAATGAAATCCCCCTTGAGTCTGAACACACCGCAGTCTATCAATCCGGTTATTTCTTTGTATTAAGTCTGTACATTTTACATTCAGTCGCTTTTTAGAGAAGCAGAGTGTTGGCCAATAATTTTTACTGCTACTTCTCAAAAGAAGCAGGCTTTTCACTTAGCATTAAAGACCATGTTTACAATTTCCAGATGAGTGCCTAGGGGCATTTAAATGCATTGGTAGCTGCTCGTTCGATATTGGTTAAAGAGAATATCATGTTTAGATGTATGAGCAGAACATGACCGTCATATTGAACCAGATTGTATGGAATTGCAGGTTGGTATTTTAAATTACTCTTCAAGCGCATTAAGATTTGATTTTGCTCCTGAAGACTTTCCCTTGGTTTTATAAGCTAACATCTATCCTTTCTGTTTGGGACTTGTGTAGCTTGAAATGGAGCTGTAAGTGTCGGGAGTATTTATTTCCGGAGGACAGGCTGTGTGACTGGGGAAGGTTCTCGCCCCTGTTCTAAGGAAGTGGGATTTCCATTAATCACTAGAATTGGTTCAAACATAACTGGCTAAAACAAACCGCAATGGCGAGAAATCGGATGTCAGCGCCTCGTGAAGCCAGAGGTCAGTAACGGAGGGCTGTGCAAACGGCCTTAGGGAGCGCGAAGGGCTCACCTACCTCCACTCCGTTCAGAAGGGGCCGGAACTCGGGGCAGATGAACGCGCTGCCTGCATAGGCCGCATCGATGTGCAGCCACACATCTTCCTTGTTGCCTAAAGTCCAGAAACAACCTGTGAGTCCCCAGACAGATGCCTCACCACGGAGCCTGCCAGCGGACCTCGGCCTGCCCAAGCACCCTTCTTGAGGGGAGCATGTCAACTCTACTTGCTGAACTGATGACTGGGCCCCCAAAAGGCCCCAGGTATGTGCTGCTGGCCCCAGACACACACCAGGGAACGTGGAAGCAGCTGCGCCCCTTGGCTTTCTCTCCTGACCCTGGTAGCTGAGCGTAGCTGCGAGGGCCCACGGTGCGACAGCCCCGTGTTACTAACCTGCACATCACCCCAGTGACACCACCCTTTCCACCCACCTGGAATTCCCTCCCCGGTTCCCTTTGCTAATCCATTCTCAAGTCCCTCCAGAAACATCACCCGAGTGGGGGTCTGCACGCAGTCCACGCCGACTTCCACCTGCCCCACTCCGTCCCCTCCACGAGGTGAAGTTATTTTACACCGTCTTGGATCACCCCCTGCTCCCTTCATGAACAGGGTTTCTGTTTCCCAACCATACCTAGCGGCCTTGTGGGCAGGGGCTGCCTCACTCAGGAGCAGGGAGAGCCACAGGTGAGCATGCTCCCTTCCTTTTGACAGATCTGGGCTCAACTCCTGCTTCCATCCGCTCCCCAGCCAAGGGGCCCTATCTACTTCTCCAAACCTCTCTCGCCTCCCAGGAATGGAGATGGAAGCAGGACCCACAGGCCCAAGGGAGGAGCGAGGGAATATTTACAATGTGCCTGCCAGGACTGCAGCACTGAGCAGCGGAGAAATAAATGTGGCTTCCAGGGTTGGCTGCCTCTCAGCCTCAGGTACCCACCACATGAAGAGCTGAAGGGTGAAGGACCTTAGAGAGGACAAGAGCCACCCTCGCCTCACAGGGTGGATGCCAGAGTCAGGGCACCAGCGGGTAGGTGTCAGGGTCAGCCCTGCATTGTAGGGATCTACGGATTCCTTGTTCACTCACCATCCACGGTGCAATGAGGTGTGAGGCTCTCAGGGGCACTAATTAGTCACAATGGGATAATCCCAATCAGGAGGGCTACACCATCATGATGTTATCACCACTGGAAAGTCCCACCTCCAATACCATCATCTTAGGTTAGGATTTCAGCAGATAGACTTTGCGGGGGATACAAACGTTCAGACCACAGCAAGCTTTGAAACGTACACCTATCTTATGACGGGATCTGAAGTTTTTCTCAACCTCACTGCCAATCTTAGCTACAGGGATGGATGTCCCATGATTACTGAGTGACTCCTCAGGGAGAAGCTCTGTGAATCTTAAGGCCTTGTGTTCTTCCTGGCTCACAGCCACATCCACTTGGGGTTAAGCACGCACCTGGTGAGACTGATTCTCAGGGAGGTGATGAGCCCCAGAGCCTTGGCTCAGGTCCACAGTGCTCTGTGACCTTTGGCCTCCCATGCCCTGGCATGGATATCCAGGTCCTCAGGACACACTTGACCTTGATCCAACTGACGGGTTTCATCCCGATGATCAAACCGAGTCAAAGCTTTGAAATGCCTTAAGTCTTTTATCAGCAGTGGCTTTGTGGAGGAGTGTGTTCCCTCTAAGCTTGCAGTTGGCCTAAAACTCCTGCAGAAGGGAACTTACAGGCCCCCAAGGGAAGTGGACTCTAGAAGGCTTCTCTGGTTTCCATGGGGAAGTATGGAGCTGTGGGTCTGCCTCTGCACTCTGCACATCATATGCCATCCGCTGACAGCACACACTGTATACATGCCACGGCCCATCTAGGAACCAGGCAGACACAGAGATCCTCAGCCAGAGCTTGGGGTGTCGCATGCACCAGGAGGGCACACCTAGCCCTGAGGCAAAGCCACCTCAGCGGGCAGTGATGGGACAGCCCCACACCCCTCCAGCCTCCTCCTGCCAGTGACTATTTCCTTCTGAGACTTCCTGGGAATTTGAGGCAGGTCTGGCTGCCCCTCCAGCTGTGTGTCTTCCCCCCGTTATGCTGGCACCTCAGGATGCAGCTGTGGCTGCCTGTCCTGTGCTGTTCCCTTCCGCACTCCTTGAGATGGCCTCCCCAGCTCAGCCTGTACTCTCGTCCCCAGTTTTCCCACTTCCCTACTGGCACCTAACTGACTTCAAACATCTACTTTCTGTATCTCATCTGCTCAGTAAAACCTGCCAACTGATCCATCCAAGCAGACCAATCTGAACAGCCTCAATGGCAAATCATTTTAAATGCAGTAGAAAGAAAATGTCTCTCCAATGGCAGCAATTGAAAGAAAACCATCTTCTGATTTGTTTTCTTTGTCAAGTAATGGTGGGTGAATAACTTAACTGAATTACGTTAGTAGATTATTCTAATCATACTATAGAATCAGGTCAGCTCAGGATCTCAGAACAGTCTCACTTGGAGTTGAAGAATGCTAAATATCTGGTCACAGGCAAACGGTAGCAGGAGAGAGAAAGCAGGTAAAAAGGTGCTTAGTTGTTAAGGTATCACAAACAGTTAGTAATATACCATCATCAATAAAAATGGAATTGTTGGCCAGGTGCAGTGGTTCACGCCTGTAATTCCATCACTCTGGGAGACCAAGTCAGGCAGATCACCTGAGGTCAGGAGTTTGAGACCAGCCTGCCAATGTGATGAAACCCCATCTCTAATAAAAATAGAAAAATTACTTGGGCATGGTGATGTGTGTCTGTGATCCCAACTACTCGGGAGGCTGAGGCAGGAGAATCTCTTGAACCCAGGAGCAGAGGTTGCAGTGAGCCGAGACTGTACCACTGCACTCCAGCCTGGGCAACAGAGCGAGACTCCATCTCAAAAAAAAAAAAAAAAAAGAGAGAAAAAAAGGAATTGTCAAAGCTGACCTCCCCTTTGCATTTTGGCAATGAACGAAAGAGTTTTGGCATTCACCCAAGTCAGCTCCTTCTGCACAACCCCGAAAGCAACCTCAGTGTTTCAAACCAAACAAATCATAAATCAAGCTCTATCCACAACCTCCAGCCTCTGCAAAGAAGACGAGGCCCCAGGCCAGCAGGATGGCCTGAGCTGGGTCCATCCAGTGGACTGTGACTGGCAGGTGACACACACTGGCTGTCATCTCCATGGGCAGCGGGCAGCCTGCACTGGGCCCAGGAGACAGCAGGCTGTGTGGGCTCTGTCCGGCAGAAGACCTCAGACCTTTAAATCCGATAGCCCTGGGGAATTACATCAGCCGGCTACTGGCCAGGACATTCAGTTCTTAGCCTGACATCTGAGTCAGAGGACTCCAAGTCGCTTGGCTGAGCTGCTGAAGGTTTGCAGCTGATGAGGCCAGTACTGTGGCTGCAGTCCCGAGTCAGCCAGCTCTATCCCTTCTCCCAGCCCGGAGCTGTACATGACCACCTCCAGCCGTTCTTACAGTTGTAAGAACAACTAAACAGTGGAGCAAAACCCTGTGAGAGCAGGCAAGTCTTGCCCCCACCTCCTAAGACATCCTAAGCCTCAAACAGTGGAGCAAAACCCTGTGAGAGCAGGCAAGTCTTGCCCCCACCTCCTAAGACATCCTAAGCCTCAAACAGTGGAGCAAAACCCTGTGAGAGCAGGCAAGTCTTGCCCCCACCTCCTGGCGGCTCCCAGCACCGCCTCCCTTGCTGTGCAGCAATGCACTCCACCTTTGAGATGGTGCATTTTCCCTGCATTAATTCATCCTCTGAATAATACTGTGGGGAAACATTGTTATTTTATGAGAACAAGTGGAGCTTTTCTCTTCCCTTTACAGACAGCTTAAGTGAAGCTCAGAATGTAAGCTTCGGGGGTGGGCCTGGGCTGGATGCTAGCTTCCTTGTGACTGATGCCATGTCCAGCTCACCCAGGGGTACCTTAAGCACTGGCCTTCCCCAGCAGCTGACCTCAGGAGGGGAGGCCAATGTTCAGGAGAGGAGTGTCCACTCCTCCGAGTATGAACCATGGATGACTCTTGGGTTAGGAGAGGTGAGAACTGTGCCTGGCTTATGCAGACTAAGGATGAAGCCAATTCCCTGGGGGCTGGCGTGGTATCAGGCACAGGCCACAGGTATGTGGTCTGAAGGCCTGACTCGGGCAGCTCCACCCACAGACAAGCGGTCAGAACATTCCCATCCCAGAGGTACACAGAAAGGGCGAGCCCCGTGAGCCGACGTCCCTTCCCGACAAGGGTTCCTCGGTCCACAGAAGCAGCTTCAAGGCCTGCTGAGTTCCCAGAGCCACATGTCAAAGATGAAATTCTAGAAACACGGCTACTCATTCACGTTCACCTTTTGGAAACACAGCATCCTAAGCCTCAGTGAGAAAACCTAGCAACTCTGAATGAGGGAGGGAGGAGGTGAGAATGACCCCTGAAAACATCCAAGCACAGTTTATTCCTTGGTGAAATCCAGTTTCATTGTGTTGATTTTCTAAACTACCTTCAGCAATTTTCTTAACTACATTCAGTAATTCCAAAAGCGGTGAAAAGGGATATACCAGAGAATTGCATTTAAGCATGGACAATTCTCGTGGCAGGTGTACGCATGACCCACATATGAGGTGTTTACTCCAAGATTTTGAAGAGCTTATTCTCCTCAACAGGGTCAAAATGGCCTGCAATTTTACATAGCTTTTATATTGCTTGGAATATTGCTTTTCTTACAAATAATGTGTTGGTAGAACTAAGCTCAGCTCCTGTCCAATTAGCCCAAATTCTCAGTTAGTGGAGTTCAGGCTAATGAGGTTTGTGTTATTGCAAATCGAGAAGAGCTGTGCAAAGCATCACACTATGAAATTAACAAGAAAGAGAGATCAGCGAGGAAGGTCTGCTAAATTCCTCATATACAGAGAACATTTTCCAAAAAGGAAATGGAATCAGATACTTACAGATAGGACCGACTTCCAAGAGATTGTCAAAGGAGCAGCACGTTGTGGTCCCCAGGGTGGCAACCACCTAGAGGGTAAGAAACAGACAACCTTTTATCCCCCACGTGCCAGTCACTGCTGTAACCTCCACACAAGCAACTGCTGCTCCATGGTCCAAGCCACGGCCATGAGCTGAGATCCCAGTGAATGTCTGCTCTGTGGAAACGTAAGCCCATAAATGCACATGGAATCTTTGGGTGAAGGCATCATAACAGGTTAAGAGAAACACATTTGTAGACAGAAAACTAAGCTCTGAGGTTAGAAACAGGGAACTTGCAGAAGATTTTCCATGGTGCCTTGGGGCAGAAATGAAGCATTCTACCATCTGGAAAATGATCCCTCTATTCCACTTTATTAAATTTACTTTTATATGTATATGTATCTATTTCAATTAAATTTTAATTAATGTTCTATGTAACATTAGTGCAACTATGTTCTTATATTCTATATATACATTTTATTATAATTTAATTAAATGTGTAATTACTTAAATTATAATTAAACTATACATATATGTGTATATTTTATTTTCTACATATATGTGTGTGTGTATATACATAGAATGTAAGAACATAGTTACTACTGTGGAGTGGAAGCCTAGTTTTTTCCTAGTTTGGGGTGTGTGTGTGTGTGTGTGTGTGTGTGCGCGCGCACGTGTGTATGTGAATACACATACGTGCAATGCACATAGCAAGTGCAGTAGAGATGAAGCTCCCTCCAGCAGGGCCCGGATCACACAAAGCACCCTGGATGCTTCTTCCAGAACAGCCTTTGGCATCAGTTAAGAGTCACACCAGGATCTTGAGCAAGAGTATCAGTCACCAGCTTTAATCCGCTGCCTTTCTCCTTGTGAATGATACTGTTCCCAAATAGTAATTCAGCCCCCAGGAGGTCATGAGAAAACACTGCTGACATTGAGAATAGTTTTAAAAGGGATGTTCTGAGAAAGCATTGAGTGCTGTCAGTCACACAACTAGAAAATGCAGGCTAGGAGTCCCTGTGGCCTCTCCTGACCTCTGAGGGCCTCGTAGTGCCACAAACGCACTGGCACAGCCTGATTGTGTTGTCCCCACACACGTATCTGTCTCTCCCTCCAGACCCATGGTGCTCCCAAAACCAGGGACCCTGCCTCATTGTTTTGTGTTGGACTGAACATTTGCACTTCGCCGGATCTTGTATGGATGCTGAAACCTATTGCTGAACTGAAACAGTTCTCTCCAAAGGATCAAAATTCACATTATGTTTACAAAACCAAAGGGCCTAATTGATTTATGGATGTCATGTAGTCTAGATAATGAAATTTCTCTCCAGATGCGACGAGAGTGTGGAATCGAATTAAATTTGTGTGACCTTGATTGAGCCGCCTCTAAAGTCTCAGCTATGCCATGTGTCCTGAGGTTAAAGATAGAGAGGTCAGAAACTTGTATGTGAGAACTCCAGTTGGAGGCCTTTCTGGTTCCATTTCACCTATGACTACATGCATTTCACCTGGAAACCAGCTCTTCCTCTTAGAGAGAAAAGAAGTGATCATGCGAGTTAGCACGGAGTCAGCCTTTGGAAGGTTCATCTTACGGGCCTTGCCCTGCTCCTCTCACAGGCGGCTGGGCTGGACAAGGTACTTCTCAGAGTGATGCCTGCTCAGGAACCAGAATTTTCCATGCCGAACCATGGGGTGGGGACCCAAAACAGGTCCGGACTGGACTCTGGAAGGGCTCTCTGTGTCACCAAGTTATGCTGAAGGGAGTCAGTCCCCCAAGGGGCTACCCTCAGGTGCAGCAGGGGCATTCTGTATAATTGGAGCTGTCTTCTTGTTCAGGATGGTGAGCCCAACAAGTCGGGAAATGACTGCCATTAAAAACAGCTTGGTCCTCACAGTCCCCAAGAGGAGGGGGACATGGGGAAGTACCAGGATCTGTCAGGTGGCAGAGTGGGTGGGGAAAAAAACTGCAAAAGAACCTGTGTGTGGTTTCCACAGGAAGAACCAGACAGGGCAAGGGTGAGCAGGCTTAGGATCGGCTGGTTTGAACAATTTCAGTGGGCTCTGGGGTCACATTTGGTTAGCTCCAGGTCGCATTTGGAGCAGGGGATGTCCCTAGGTGTCAGGCACCCAGCCTTGGAGTGATCATGTCAGGAGGATAGTGGCCCAGAGTGTGAGAGGCCCACAGAGGAGGTGGTGGGGTAGGAGCTCTGGGCTGATGGCTTTGCATTTGAAAGGCGAACTTGCACATAGTCCATTGAGATCTCTGGTGGGGAGTTGGGGAGAGATAGCATGGGGAGAAATGCCAGATATAGGTGATGGGGAGGAAGGCAGCAAACCACACTGCCACGTGTGTACCTATGCAACAATCTTGCATGTTCTTCACATGTACCCCAAAACCTAAAATGCAAAAAAAAAAAAAAAAAAAAAAAGATCCCTGGAATCCGCTCTCCCTGAGAATGGCAATCCCTCCAGGGTCAGCAAGACCCAAAGGTGTCACAGCATCAGAAGCACAGATGGTAAAAAGGCATGGTGAATCCAGATAGTTAAACCATGTACGTGGGGCACAGAGCCCTGGGTTGAAGACCAAACTCCATGTCACATTGGCACCTGGCTGGGCTATATTTTTCTTACCTACAATGCAACATATTGGACTTACAGAACTGCCCAGTCTATCAGGTGCCAATGGGCTTCCATCTTGCAGACCTCAATGTTTCTCCTGGTGCTCAGCCTCCTTTGTTAACCTCTGGATGGCCCCTCCTCATGTCAAGCATCAAGAGTTCTCCACATTTATTTTGTTTTGGTAAGATGAGTCACTTAGTGGGAATTGAAGTCAGTGTGTTGTTTTTCTCTGCAACTTGCAATTTCATCTTGACATATAATTGAACATTAAAGTGCTTTCAGACACCTGGCTACTCAGCTGGTAGAGCAGGAGTGTCTTAGAATGCCTTATCTATGTCCTTAAGAGAATACTGAAGAAACAAAGAATGACTTAATCATATTTAATATTGCTCGAAACTGGTTTTTTAAACTCCCAGAATCATATCTTAGACATGACATATCTCTAGTTTTGCAATTCCTTTCATCTGATTTTCTCCAGTTAAACACTAAATGCTATAACTTCTTTTTTATTTTTGAGACGGTTTCGCTCTTATCCTGGCTAGAGTGCAGTGGCATGATCTTGGCTCACCGCAACCTCCGCCTCCTGGGTTCAAGTGATTCTCTTGCCTCACCCTCCCAAGTAGCTGGGATTACAGGCACCCTTCACCCATGCCCAGCTAATTTTTTGAATTTTTAGTAGAGATGGGGTTTCACCATGGTGGCCAGGCTGCTCTCGAACTCTTGACCTCAGATGATCCACCTGCCTCGGCCTTCCAACATTCTGGGATTACAGGCGTGGGCCACCATGCCCCGCCAATAACTTCTATTATTAAAATTAATATACTAAATGTGCCCTTATTAAAATTATTTTCTATTAATGTGTGCATATGAGAGCATCTAGAATGATGTTCAAACAGTAATACTGCCTCTCTGTTAAGATTTTGGGTGACATAAACCTTTATTCTTAAATTCTTATGTAATTATTGACTTGTTGTTGTTGTTGTTTTGAGTATGAAACATCTTTGTAGAAACAATAAAACCCTGTCTTGTCCTGGCAGTGGCCTAGGTTGAGAACAGGGCGACGTTCTTTGCGGCTGACTCTGCAGCAGGCCTGATGATGAAAGCCTTTCCTGTATGATATTTAATTGCCACCACTTATGAGTTAGATATGTTCATGATTCCCACTTTACAGTTGACTTATGTGAGACTCCAGGAGGTGGGTAATTGACCCAGGACACCAGATAGGCAGGAGCAGACCCAGTGAGACCCTAGGCTGGGTTAGCTCTTTTTGTCCTGCCATGCCCTGGGCAAACAGGACCCCTGGGGCACCAGTCCCTGAATGTCAGTTAAGGAGCCAAGCACCCCAGGCCATGCCAGAGGCCCCTCCAACAAACCCAAGTCATTTGTGGTGGCAAGGAGGAGGCCTAGGGGCTGCAAGGACAGTGTTCTAAGTGGCTTGTCTACGTGGGGCTAAGCTACGAGTCAGCCCGTCCTAATTCTCAGAAGCCACTTTAAAGCTAGCACCTGCTCCGCTCCAGGCTCTGATTACCCCGGCTCAGCATTGCTCAATGACGCTAACCCGATTCCAGTCGATCTGCAGAGGCATAATCACATTTGTGCAGGGGGAAGGAGGGGCAGGGGACGGTGCGGGCCTCCATCTCAAAGAGCCCCGCGGTCTTCCTGCAGCGGCAGAGCCTAGTGTGACCTCCTCTTCTGCACCCTTGTCCCTTCAGCCAGCCCGCTCCGCTCATGTCAGTGCCTGGCAGGCATCGCCCTCTGTGGCCTGACCTTATCAAGCTGGCTCATTAGGGAAGCAAATTGTCCTGAGAAACAAGGGGAAACTTTATTATAAGTCCCAGGCTTGTTCATAGAAGGGCAATGATTCAGCTTTTCTGGTTCAAACCCTGCCAAATGTGCCCCTTGCCCTCAGCAGCGGGTCTTCAATTTTAAGGGATCTGCAGCCACTTTGAGAAGATAATGAAGACCATGTGGCTACATCCCAGAAGGACGCATATAGTCATTATGCACAAGCCCCGTTATAACTGCAAGGGCACAGCTGAGCAGTGAGACAAGGCTCAAGCTCCAACCCTTCTCCTACGTGGGCCTGGACTCTCTCCAGCTTCACAGTCCTTTGGCTGTCAGTTAAAGACAACAAGCAAGTTGCATTTCCTGGAATGTCCTGTGCCCTTCCACATCTCTATATGCTGCAGTCCTCTTCCCTTCAACAAGAAAGCCACCATGACCAGGATCACCTGCCTGGATATCCCCTGGCCCAGCTCCTGTGTTCTCTCTCAGCAACAGGCTTTCCAGATCCCCTCTAGGGAAGTTTATTTGCACCCTCTTCCCACGCATATATGCATCATTCTCATCAAGCGGTGCGGGGATGGGAACACACCTGTCTTCCCACCAAGAACCATGCCACAAGGAAAGGGACCATGGCTCGTCACACA